GCTGAGCAAGCTTCCGCATTTATCTTATACGTCAGGCAGAACGGAAGCAAAGCATCCCACAAGCATGCAACTACAAAATACATAGCTTCACCGCTCACCAGAGAAGCATAACTACGACTCTCTCTCTCTCTCTCTCTCTCTCTCTCTCTCTCTCTCTCTCTCTCTCTCTCTCTCTCTCTCTCTCTCTCTCTCTCTCTCTCAGTATATAGTCACACAGCAGAGCAGAGAGCACGACTGACGGAAACATAGGTTTGCAGCTGACCCGAGAAGCACAAGTAATGAAAACGTATATCTGTGCAATTTTCCGTTGAGCCTTTTTCATGCAACCGGACATTGAGAGATCCACAACTTCACAGAGTCCAGCAGATTCGGAAATCTTCAAGCGTTCGAGATTAGAACCGAGCTGATCTTATTAAAAAAAAAAAAAAAAAAAAAAAAAAAAAAAAAAAAAAGAAGAAGCTGATCCACCAACGGGCTTAGCGCAGTTTGTACACCCATAAAGAGTGTTGAAACGCAGACGTGAATTCAAGTCCAGCTGGAATTCAGTCTATCAGATGAACGGAATTCCTGAACGGAATTCCTGAATTACGTAGGACAAGTCGTTTTCACTGCGATATCTCGAGGCTGTCGCCCTGCAAAAAAAAGAAATGAGCTGATTTAGAAATTAGGAGGAGGATACCAAAGCATGCCCCCACCGCCGCTGCCACCGTAACAGGTTAATATCAGGACCTGAATTACGTAGGACAAGTCGCTTTCACTGCGATATCTCAAGGCTGTCGCCCTGCAAAAAAGAGAAATGAGCTGATTTAGAAATTAGGAGGAGGATACCAAAGCCACGCCTCCGTTGCTGCCACGGTAAAAAGTTAATATCTGGAATGTTTTTTTTACTTTTTTCTTTCACAAAATCGCTGGAAGTTAATATCTGGAATACTTTTTTTGTTTCACAAGATCGCTGGAGTGCTCAGATTAAGCCTTTTTCTTTTCTTTTCTTTGACAAGTTAAATCTTAAAAACACTGACAGTCACTGACTAGCAGGCTATGTTTTTTCGTTTACAACAAGATCACTGGAGGTTAATACCTGGAACGGTCTTTTTGCCGTAGGTCTTATTTTCCTTAGGTAGTTAAAAGACTACCTAGTAGCCTAACTTTTCGCCTTTCTGAAGACAATCGCCTTTCTGAAGACTATCAATTCTGTCAGCTCGTACCTTTCTTGGGCTTTTCAGTTTTGAGTCTTTTGACTAATTGAGATCATCAAGTGTAGTACCTATTTTGATTCTATTCCCATATCACTGATATCAGTTTAAACTTTTAACTTTAAACTTGAAACCCACCAGTACGTTTCACAGGCAAAATGTTTGCATGCGGCACTACGGTCACTTCCCTCTTGGGGGATGTACCTGGCCGCCGCTCAGGGACAATTCATTCATTTTGAGCTGTTTTGGGGCACCCTGCGTCTCAAGCCCAAGTACTGCTGGTTTCATATCTGATCTATTGTCTATTGATCCACTCACAAAAAAGAAAGGAGTCAAAGGACATCTGTTTGTTTGGCATTTGCTTAGTAGTGACTCTAGTGACCCTTGTCCACATGTGCGTACATGCAAGAGAGAGAGAGAGAGAGAGAGAGAGAGAGAGAGAGAGAGAGAGAGAGAGAGAGAGAGAGAGAGAGAGAGAGAGTTTGAACTCGGACTTCGATTTTTTTTATTTTTTTTTCTGAACTGCTAAAGTCTTGGACTTTGTTTAATGTTTACCTTTGTTCAAATTTACTGCCGAAAAAAAAAAAAAAATAATAATAATAATAAAATTTAAAATCAAGTTTACCGCGGAGTGCTCTTTTTTTTCGTTTCTTCACTTTTTTCTTCCCTTGCAGGAGTTTTTGTGCTTTGCAGTGACTGTGCCAGCAGCACAGTGCATGGCAATGAATGATCATTCATGTTTGTCATATATGCCAACAGCTATTGTCTTCCTGGAACACTTCCACTTAAGACACCGCGCAGTGTTTTTTTTTTTTTTTTTTTTTTTTTTTTTTTCCCGGTCCGGACTGGTCTGGAAATCCGAACTTCCTGGTCGTATCCGGACCGACTGGTTGTCTGGGTCTGGATTGGTCTGGTGTCCAGGTCCACGGTAGTCATGGATTGGGATTAGGAGTTAAGCAGTCTGTCTGATTGTCGGGGGAACAGAGAGGGGACTGAGACTACCGTCTTCGCCCAAATAAAACGGCCCGTAATTATTGCTGCATCTGGACTGAAAGTTGTGCTTAGGCGAAAACAAAAAACAATGCGCGCGCGCTCTTGCGCCTCACAATCGGTAGTTTCCTTGCGTCTGGCGTCTGTGGTGTATGGCCTCTGAGGATCGATAGAGACGCTTCGTCTAGCGAGCCTGCTGATTTACTCTATCCACTCGAGTGGCCGTTCGGCCGTATTTCTCGGTAGTGTATGTAAGAATTGCGAGTGTTCCAGCATTTACATAGCCAGATTTTATGACTGCCCTAACAAATGCTGCTATAATGACCGCGGGCATTGTATTCGAGTGAACAAGGTAGGAGTCCAGCAATTCTGCTGTTTTACCTCTGTGCAGGCAGGCAGCGATTCAGAGCACTGATAGGACCAAGAGGCCTTTAACGGACCCCCTAATTTTTTATTTTTATTTTTATTTTTAATTTGGACCATTTCTCGATTTATGTGTGTCATCTTTGAAAGCGCAGGGGCCATTGCTAATCTTCTCTGTTATGGTATCGTTCCAATTTTAACGGATGTCCCCAAGGACAGGATCCCCTAATTTTCAGACAACTTGACTTGTCATACCATTTATATTAATTTTATAACAAAATTCCAAGGGGGTCATTTTAACCAAACTTGCCACCAAGTCATAGAGTAGACAGCATAGTGTTACAAACTGCAAAAAAAAAAAAAAAAAAAAAAAAAAAAAAAAAAAAAAAATCGAAAATAAAAACCACGTGTGGTAGGACCTACTACTTGGCAAGCATTTGAAATGATCCGGTCCTACCCCGATCAAGACGACAACTCGACAGCAAGATTCATCTTTTGCTTGCACATGCAACAACGCGACTGCGACTTCGAGAGAGACGATCTGTTTGAGAGATCCAGGGAAGAGACTGCTTCATGCTCTGAAGGTTATCCGGTCAAACCCCGATCAAAACTACGAACTAAAACAAAAAAAAACAAAAAAAACAAAAAAAACAAAAAAAACAAAAAAAACATAAAAGATTAATATTTTGCTTGCACATGCACAATGCGATTGCGCCCTTGAGAGAGACGATCTGTTTGAGAAATCCGGTGAAGAGACTGCTGCATGCTGTGAAGGTTATCAGGTCCAACCCCGATCAAAACTACGAACTAAAACAAAACAAAAAAAAAAACAAAAAAAAACAAAACAGAAAAAAAAGATTCATCTTTTGCTTGCACATGCACAACGCGATTGCGCCCTTGAGAGAGACGATCTGTTTGAGAGATCCGGTGAAGAGGCTGCTGCATGCTCTGAAGGTTAGTTCCAGCGCAGAAGCCGACCTACATGATTTATTCAAATATATATATCCTCTTCTCCCTCTCTGCCTACGGTTTACTGGGCAGCTCTGTATATATATATATCGTCACAAATATATATATATCGTCATATATATCGTCACAAACAGAACTGCCCGGTAAACCGTAGGCAGAGAGAGAGAAGAGGACAACAAACGAGGGGCTGTGACAAACTGTTTCGTCG